CATAAATAATGCCTTTTGATGACAGAGAAGTGATTTGTTCTTTATTTAAAAAGAAAAAAAAATCGGAAACAAGCCACTTTACACAGCAAACATCCGTAAGTTTTATTCTGTATGATAAAATCCTGCATTTTTTATGGAATTAGTGTTTTGTCATATTTATTTTCATCTTGGAGTGCAGAGAAATTTAGAATCACGTGGTTCAGCTAATGTTATGCATAATGTGCTTGAAAGGAATTTGAACTTAGGTACCTTTGGCATTTAAAATCATGTGTACTTAATTTCATTTTTTTTTTAAATAAGCTATATTACTGGTGATAGCAGTAAAAACAGAATAACTTGTGGCTAATAGAAAACAGACAGTCATTCATGCTATGCTGGAAGAAACATCTGGACCCTGGAGCAGACTGCAGATATGAATGATGAATGAAAAAACATTGGCAAGAAAATCTTGCTCCTTTTCTCTCCTTCACATTTGCCTTCCCCTTCCCCATTCCCTCCAACTCGGTGCCGCTTCTGTGCCGACCACATGGAGTGATTCCCGGGGGCTGCTCGTCCCCAGACCCTCGTTTCTGCTGACACCTGAACCTGTTCTGTGGGCGGGTGTTAACATTTGGTGCCTACAGTTGCACAAATCCCTGACACATCCGCTGCTTCCACGGGGCACTACAACTGCAGGAAAGTCTCTGTGTTTCTACAGCATCACTTTGCTAAGGCAAGAGGTCTCAGTCATTTGGTAGCTCTCCATTTTACATGGACCAGGATGCTCTTCTTGCATAGCATCAGGAGGAATTTCCTTTCTTAGATTTGTATTAAAAAAATGTGCTATAACTGAACAGCTGTTTTCAAGCGGTTTTGAGGGGAAGGATTGAAATTGCAGTTCATTCTCCTGATAACCCCTCTGCTTGTTTTCCTTGCGATTTTTGGGCATCTCAAGGCTTTTCTTTGGTAGGTTTTTTTTTTTTTTTTTTTTTTTTTTTGCGATAATAGTTTCTCCTTCCTTGTCTTGTGTTTCAGTTGCGATCGGGCTTGGACCTTGACCAAGACATCCTGAATGACTGCCTCACAATTCAGCCTCTCCAGACATCCCCTTCACCACATGATGCAGCCAATACCATGAGACCATCTCCAGAGTCACCTCATGAGATCTACCAAGGTATAGCAAAGGGACAAAAAAAAAGCTTGCAATTATTTATTGTTTGCTTAACATTTTGGATGTTTTCCCAGCACAAGGTGTCCTCTAAAATCATCCTCATCTCATGAGAAGGGTAGAACTTTAAAAGTAATATGACAAGATAGATTTTAATCAGATTTTTACCTATTTTTTGACTGAGGAAAGGGATGATGAATTTTATGTTATCTATGAAGAGACCTACCGCAGGAAGGAGGGCTCATTTTGCTTTCTGGGCATTTAGCTTCTGCTAGCAATACATTTCTGCCATTCCTTCTAGACCTCCTGAACTCCTTAAGCTTCATTTAGAATTTAAAGAATATTTGTCTTCTTCATCATTCATGTATTACAATCAGTTTTCTTATAGATCTGCATCAATGAACTGAAATGTTCCATTATGAGTTCTCATATTTTGTGTAACTCTAAATACTCCAATAAATACATGTAGGGTGTAGAAGTGATCATCCTATTTTTATTGCTTCAGTTAAGTGTTGGGGATTTTCTTATTAAAATACATAACTCTCACACCTAGCTCAATGTACAATGGCTGTTCACATTTTGGCAGAATTTGAAACATTTGAGAATTTATAAGTGATAATATATCTCAAAGTTCAGCCCAATGGTGTGTAGCATGTTAACATTTTTTATGAAGCACCTTAATACTTGTGAAGGCATCTGGTTTTCACCGTCATGCAGAATGCAATACGTCTTCTAATAGTCTGTAGTCTGGTACAGTTGAGAGTCCAAGTCTTAACTGAAATGCAGATGTAGCAAGTGGCTGGATGTTTTGTGCAGCAGTGAAAAGTGGCATTTTCTGAAGCGGTCACTTAGAAAAAGTGGTTTTATTTCCTGAGAGGCTTCCAGACATAAAGTTCTCAATATGCCTTTTTTGAGGCTGTTGTGAACTATATGATGGCTTGTGTTGATGTAGGTTTATATTAAAAAAGACCAGGAAACTGAAAGCTATGTTTCCTACATTGACTGACTGAATCATAATTTATGAAACCCTTATTGCTACTATGCTGTCACCTTTTTTATAAAACCCTTATTACTACTGACTTACTGACGGGTTCACTACTGTGTCATCAACCTTTACATGCCTTAGTCTGATCACGGTCGGAATATAGCATCTGTTGTCTGAGAACTAAAGGAAATTTCAGATTTTAAAGATATGATTTGGAGCAGGCAATCTATACCTTCCCTTTGTAGTAATATGGTGTTGCTTACATGTGTTTTATTTATTGTATTTTGAGGTGGAGTTAGATATTGGGAAAAGCTTAGATAAAAAAGGGAATTACTGGCATTAGTATAAAAGAAAACTCACAGTGAGAGAAGAAAAGATTGAGCTTGTTCTTTCAAGTGCCTAAAAGTCATGGAAGATATACAGGAACAGTATTCCTGAACATTTTTGTAGGACGTTTTCACTGAAATCTGTTGAGCACTGAACCTTTTACAAATCTGGCTTTTAGACTATACTTAAATGTTTAAAATCCAAGCTGCTGGATTAGTCTGAATCTAGGCTGATAGTGGCTTGAACAGACTGTGGCCCAATGATTTGTCAGTATCCTAAGCCAAATAAAGTGATTGCCGGTAGCCAGCCCTTAGCTGAAAATTGTCTATACGCAGGATAGTCCATAAATGACTTCTGAGGTATGTCATAACATTTTGTAATCTCATTCATGCCTTGTTTTTCAGTATCGAAATTCTTTATCATAATAATCTTATTTTTTGTGTTACTTGTCACTGCATCTTACTGTGCAGCAATTTTTCTACTATCAGAGGTAATCAACATCAGCAGCATTTTCTCTGTATAAGTAAGAAACCGGTTTCTCTTACACAAGTGTTGCCCCTAACCACAACCTAGCACATTTTTCCTGGCTTTATTTCCTTGTTCACAGAAAGCAAGTGGTGTTGTTTCACCTCAGTTCAAATGGGGTGTTGTGTCAGGAATAAATTAATCCATGTCACTTCATTTTGTCAATGACGCAATCCAGCTGAAATGGATTGTTCCATTAGCTACTCATCAGGGTTGATAGATAATATGCTATGCGAAAAGGAGAGATAACAACAGAGAAAGAATTATTTGAGGGGAAATGGCAATCCTAAAATTAATCATACTGCAAGGAGAGATGAGCAAATCATCAAAAATCTTCAGTGTGGTGACATGGAAAAGACACGCTTCTGATTTCTAAGAAAGCAACATCTTCTCTAAATATAAGCAAAATTTTGAGAGATAGTCTGAAAGGAAAACACTTCTACTGGAACCTTTTAGAGAAGTTGTAATAGCTGAAATTTTTCTGTGTAGAAGTAGTAGAAAGTAGAAACATGAACAGGTATCTTCTCCACCAATAACCTTAAATAAAACTTTTCTCACTTGGATGTTGACTTGCTTCTAGCTTACGCACTTTTAAAGCCAAGCTAATTTTTACTTCACTTTTCGTAGGAAATATAAAGAATAAATATCTAAAAGTGAACATTTAGCTGCTAGTACATTTCTGAATATTAAAATACAATAACGCCTATAACAATCTCCATTTTGAGGCACAGAATCTGCAAAAACCATCATGTTTAAATAAAAACACAACAGTTATCTTTGGATTATGCCTGCAGTACTTAAAATTAAGGCTAAATAGAAGTTTGCCTGATCCAAGGCCTATGTGATTTTATTAAAGAAATTTGAACGGAGTATAGATTAGCTAATTTACTAGGGTAACATTAGAGGTTTCTCACTTAAAAAAAAGAAAAAAAAAACAGAGAAATCAAAGACAAAAGTAAATTAGATTACAAAATGTTACATAAAAGCATCTTTTAATTTTATCACAGCATTTAGAATTAGCATGAGTGTTGCAACCATTCACTGAAATCTTTCAGACTGTTATTGCTTGAAATACTTCCAGATTATTTCCAGGCAATGCATTTTGCTCACTGTGAGTTTAACATCTTCAGATCGCCTTAGGTAGGTGGGCAGTTAATAAGACATAGGGGAGAGAAGACAATCTTTTTTTTCCTTCTTCCTCCTTATGAACTATTGTAATATTCCAGAGGAAGGAGTAACAATGAAAAATGTCTAATGTGTAGAGATCTAAAAGAATTCAAATAACATTCAAAAATTAGAATAGCAAATCTTATTTAGGATGTGGACTGTTTTGTGATATTTTTGGTAGTAGCCAGTACCATTTTTATCAAAGGCCTCTAAGTGTGCTAACTCTGACATTTTTATTCTGATGCAACTGGTGATTTTTCAGTGAATTTCTTTTTTTTTTTTTTTCCTCCAGTTCTGTGAGCCTAGAGAAAAAAAAAATCTTAGAAGACAGTATATCTCAGGACAATGCTTCTGTAAAGGACCTTGATCACAAAGGCACTATATGTGCTGAGTGTTGTGATTCCTCAATATTAGGGACAGGAAGTCTCAAAGGCCTCAAATGAAGAGGCCTACAAAAAGAACTAGATTTGGTTACTGCACAAGGTGTTTCCCTGGACTTGTTTTCCTCTTCAGCCTTATGTTTTGTCCGGGAGGGCTTTATAAGCCTTGAGGATGCCTCCAGGAGCTCTGATCTACCTGTAGATCATTTCAAAAAGACACAGAAAGGATCAGCAGAACCCACATGATGGGCCAACTTTGCAATTTGCCCTTCATAATGTTATTTTGATTTCTGCAGCATTTCTTAATGTACCAAGACCTCTTTCAGATCCACGCATATAGGAGACATCAGACTTAAAGAGCACCTGGCAGCATTAGTACAATATCTGCAGCATGTTTTACCTTTGCTGAGCTTACTACCTAAGGCTTGATAGAACCCATGCACACATATTTCTGTCCAGAAGATCCTATAGATCCAGAAGATCCTTCTGTATGAAGTATGTGCACCTAAGGCAAGAGTAAAGGGGAAAATGTATGACTGATGTTCCCAAGTTCAAAAAGTATTTCAGATTTTCCCTCTGAGCACTGATAAATTCCTTGTTCACAAGGAAACGTAAATATACCCTATAGAAATGCAGAATTAAATATAAATTTTTTTAAAAGTCTTGGAAATAAATGAACATATTATTTCAATGTGGACTACAAAGTGAAACCTCCAGATTTTCTCTATACAAAAAATGCTCAGGCCTTCCCCCAAATCCTGTCAGCAGGAGTAGGAAGAAAGATATTTTGAGGGCAGAAACAGATTGACAGAATGGTGATTTGACTGTAATAAATCCAAGGAATTAATTATACCTATGTTGGTAATTTGCACAGAGCAGGGTGATAATTTTGTATTTTAAAAATGTTTCATGAAATTACAGGTTTCGGACTCCTTTAAAAGACAAAATTAGATCATTTTCTTAAACTTGGGTTTCAACAAAATTTTAAATGCTACTTCTCTGGGTTTTTTTTTTAAAGTAATCTTGCTCAGATCATTTTTTCTCTTCCTTCCACCTGATTTGTTCCTATATAAACTCACTAGAATGCATGTGAGTTTAGCTTTACATACAGGGAAAATGTCTTAGCAGAGATACTGAAAATTTCTTTGTGTTGATAATTTGATTTCTCATGAGATTCTGGAAGTGAAAACTTGAATCTTCCCTGGCTGTAATTGTGCAATCTGGCTGTAATTGTGCAATCTCTCTGGAGGTAAATCATCTTCATGTTCACATTCAGGGCTACATCTCTCTTGTAACCTGTGACATAAGTTGCAGAGTGGGTGATTGTGGGTTCTTTTTGTTTGTTTATTTTTGGACTGTACTTCTTTAATATGCCTTTAAATGGATTAGATTAAATTGTATTGCTAGAAAGAAAAGTCTTTTGTAAAATACTGTTGATGTTTATTCTGTGCTTTTCTGTGCGGACCTACCTGGTGGTATATTGGAGTCAGTGAAAATGTTTATTGCCATCAATATTATCCTGGTTTCACACCATTTAGGTTGAATGTTTAACTATGATCATGCATTGAAAGTCCTTTCTTTAGATAAATAATTCCTACTAGTATTATGAGTAAACAATACGAATTTAATAGTGCTAGAAATGTTTGCCCCATACCACTCCGAGGAAAAAACATACATCATACAACTTAGTGATTTCTACAGTATTACCCCAAGTGTTTTTGTCAGCCTTTTTAAGACTAACTCTGCTAGGTCATTGACCTGTTGCTGAGTACAGTTGTGGACTGCCATGGATTTGTACGCACCTGGTGTCTGGTTCCTTTCACATTTTTTACAAGGTTTAAGGAGTCACTTGACATAACACTATGTCTACCCTGGGAAGTTTCAAGAGCAGCAATTTCTGCTGGCAATTCCAGCAGATTTCACTCCACTGGGTGCTCCTGCTGTGCAGTATCTCCATGCACCTCCCACAGGCACCTTGCATAGTCTGTGGGTCCCTCAAATGACTCAGGGTTGTGCTGTGTTTATGGCATTTCATCACAAGGTGTAGCAGATGCAGTTGTGTAAGCATGAAAATGCTCTCTGCCTTTTCCCCTTCAACCAAGAAAGTCTTGAGGATGGAAATATGGGATCATTTCTAAATGATTGTTCTGCAGTTTCCATACAGATACCATAGACATTCTTCATCTGTAACAATGCTCTTTGAGGACCTGGTTAAAATTCTAGAGTTTTATGAATGAGGTTGGATGAAATAACCACCTCTTCTAGAGTATGAAGCTGTAGCATGTCAAGATTTGGCCTGAAACTGAACAAACCTATTCAAGCTTATTCAAGAAATAGCTTATTGAGCTCTTCCAAAAAAAATTCCCACAAGTTTGATAGTTGTGTTCTGCATGGTTTTAGGAGAGTATCGTTTGGCAACAGCAAAGTTCATGTGGTCGGGGGGAGCTTGTATGATTCTTTTTTGCTTTCCAGCAGAAAACAAGCCCAAGGAAAGAACGGTTTCTGGTAAGAGTTAGCATTAGAGATTTTGCGGAGGAGGCTTGGGGTGATCGCTGGTGGTGGCAAGCCTGATGTGAGGTTTCTCTTTTGTCGGTCTCAGCAGCTGTGTTCCCCGGCCTCCAGACAAGCCAGAGTGCCACCATGGCAGTGGGAGCTGTGTCCTTGTCCCAGCCCATCAACCTCCCTTCCCCGGGATGCAACGTTCAGGGCAGTCCTCACCATCCACCCCAACAGCTACCTCTTCTCTCAGCTGTGGACTCTGAGAGGTAAGACCACCTCTTTTTATTTTGCTGCTTCTTTTTTTTTTTTCATTTTGAAAAGCCTGAGGAATAACTGAAGTGGGCAGAAACATTGCTGCCCCAAAGTGATGACCAAGGAAGGAGAAGCCAATGGTGTCATATAGGACCTGGTGTCTGTCTCCATTGAGGGACTTTCTGCAAACACCACCTTGATCTCCAGCAATGACCTGAACAAGCCAAGTCCTTCCAAGTGGGACATGCCAAATTCCAGAGGAGCCCAACAGCACCTCCCAGAAGAGGCCACCTTGGGATCCCTGTTTCACTTCATGTACAATGGGAAACTCTGAACTCTTTCCTCTCAATATTCTCTCAGTTCTGAGTGTCTCTGCAGGAACTTGGCATCTTTTGTCTTTTTAAGAGGAATGGATAATGAATGGAGTTTGTTTTTAATTCTCCAGTTGCAGAGCTTGTTTTATAGTCAGGACTCATTTTTTGCTGGCTTGAAACAAGCCCCCTGGGCTTTGCTGTTTCCATGATTTCATATATTTTGAGTATGAAAGCAAATCACTTGAAAATGGTTTAATTTTCATTCTTGGGTGTTTCATAAGTTATTTTCAGAAGTCCTTCCAATTATTTATATCGTGTATGGTATACATTTCCACTTTGTTTATTGAAACTGAAGTCTGTCAGGTTGTAAGAATAAAGAGACTAAGTAAATAGATTTTCAGTAGTAAAACCAGCAAGATACACTAGCTTAAAAGCTATTGAATTCTTAATATCTGTGTACGGAAGCTTTATTTATAAGGCTTTATTTTGCTGATCTCTCTCACTTTCAGCATTCTAAAGCATTATTATCTGTATTTCATTAATGCATTTCAAGGTGTTTAATCTCCTTAAGGGATAGAAATGTCAGTAATTTGGAAAGCATAAAATGTCCAATTATAAACCCCAGAAGAATGCACCCTAGGCATCAAATACTAAACAACCGAGCATAATTTTGTTTGAGGAAAGCTGTACTAACTCTGCCAGGAAGAACAGAATGGCTCAGGCAAATGGTGGTGAGCCAAAAGCACTTTCCATGTTCAGTCTGAACACTTGAATTCAGACAGACCTGGAGACATGGTTAGGTTTTTTTTGGCCATTGCACAGGAATCTTGGATCGCCATTTCGTGATGGTCTGAGCTCCCTTCAGAGTTCCTTGCCTTGCCTGTTCCTGGCTGCAAGGACCCAGCCTATTTCCCTGGCACTGGCTCTGGTCATCCTTGGAAAACCTGTAAGCTGCTGAAGCTCTCCTGCTTCTCTGGAAACTTTTCTCTCCTAGTGTAGTTTTCTGTCGGGTGAGTCCAGCAGTCGTGTCCGACAAAAGCTGGAGCACCACATAACAGGCAATGTTAGATCAGCAGCTATCTCTATCATAAATTTCATTAAAAAAAAAAAAAAACACACACAAAAAACCCATTAGCATGTGATTTCATTAGCATGTTTCTGAAGGGGTGACTCGTGGACAAGCATAGCAGGGAGAGTCAGAGTGTGACTTAACTCATGAAGTCCTTGGAAATTTTGCTGGCCTCAGGATAGTACAGAATTCTGCAGATTAAGTATTGTTAAAGTTAAAAAGAACTAGCCTGGAACTAGCTTCTCAATTCTCATATGTTGTGCTACCTTTGTACACTCCCTTTTTTGTCTGCTGTTTCCTGTATACAGAACTGCTCAGGCTTAAAAACAACAACAACAACAAATCAAAACACTAAAATTTCATCTTCACTCAATTTAACAAATGGAAATTTATATCCTAAAAAGAAAAAATGTACTGCTGTAGTGTTGATTTGATTATAGAACATGTAGCACAAATTAGGACAAATGCTTAGAATGAAAACTAATACAGGAACTCTTTTTTGAATATAATACAGATCATTTACATAAACTCCTGAAAGTAGGCTCTCTTTATACCATGTTGGGGAGGAGTGATGATACCTTGCTTCTGTCTTTACTGCCAAGGCCAGTCCCCATGAACTACAGAGCCCGGAGACAAGAGAGAGAACCAGGAGAGAAGAGGACTTTCTGCTGGTCAAGGAGCATTGGGTTAGGGACTATTTAGGCAAACCCATAAATCTATGGGCCCAGATGGGATGCACCCAAGGCTGCTGAGGGAACTGGCAGGGGTTATTGCTCAGCCGCTCTCCATCTTCAAGAGGTCATGAAGGGTGAGGGAGATGCTGCAGGACTGGAAGAAACCAACATCACTCCAGTCTTCAAAAAGGGCAAGAGAGAGGAGCCAGGAAACTACAGGCTGGTCAGCCTCAACTCCATCCTTGGAAATCTGATGGAACAGCTCATCCTAGAGACTATCTCTAGGTATGTCAAGGAAAAGAAGATGATCAGGAGTAGTCAGCATGGATTCACCAAGGGAAAGTAGTGTTTGACAAACCTGATAGCCCTCTATGATGAGGTGACTGGCTGGATGGACGATGGGAGAGCCGTGTATGTTATCTACCTTGACTTCAGCAAGGCTTTCGACACAGTCTCCCATAACATCCTTATAGGAAGGCTTAGGAAGTGTGGACTGGACGAGTGGACAGTGAGGTAGATTGAGAACTGGCTGGATGGCAGAGCCCAGAGACTGGTGATAAATGGGATCAAGTGTGGTTGGAGGCCTGTGGCTAGTGGTGTCCCACAAGGGTCCGTACTGGGCCCAGTGCTCTTCAACTTGTTTATCAGTGACTTGGATGAGGGCACAGAGTGCGCCCTCTGCAAGTTTGCAGATGACACCAAAACGGGAGGAGTGGCCGACACTCCCGAGGGCTGTGCTGCCATTCAGAGAGACCTAGACAGGTTGGAGAGTTGGGTAGAGAGGAACCTCAATGAGGTTCAACAAGGACAAGTGCAGGGTCCTGCACCTGGAGAGGAATAACCCCAGGCACCAGGACAGATTGGGGGCTGACCTGTGGAAAGCAGCTCAGCAGAGAGGGATTTGGGAGTCCTGACTGACAAGTTAACCATGAGTCAGCACTGTGCCCTTGAGGCCAAGAAGGCCAATGGGACCCTGGCCTGCATCAGGAGGAGCACTGCCAGCAGGTCGAGGGAGGGGATCCTGTCCCTCTGCTCAGTGCTGGTGAGGCCACATAGAGAGTACTGTGTGCAGTTCTGGGCTCCCCAGTACAGGAGGGACATTGAGCTGCTAGAGAGGGTGCAGCATAGAGCAACAAAGATAATTAAGGGACTGGAGCATCTATCATATGAGAAGACTAAGCGAGCTGGGCCTGTTCAGTCTGGAGAAGAGAAGATTGAGAGGAGATTTGAGGCTGTGGAGTCTCCTTCTCTGGAGATCCTCCAAACCCACCTGGATGTCACCCTGTGCCACGTGCTCTGGGTGTCCCTGCTGGAGCAGGGGGTTGGACTAGATGATCCCTAGAGGTCCCTTCCAACCTTAACCATTCTGTGATTCTGTGATTCGTATGAAAATGTGAACCAAAGGCCATAAACAGTGGCTTGGACAAGCATGTATTAGGCTATTTATCTTCATCTCATCAAGCAGACCTGCAGGATTTAGGGACACAAGCAGGGAATTTGTTCCCTGTGGTTCTTGAGATGCACCTGGGACCTTCAAGAGCCAGGGCTGACTGATTGAGCATGTGCCCCTGCGACCTCATTCATTTATTGGGTTAAAACAGGTCCATGCCATCCTTGTGACTTTAGTAGTGCTGGGTTGCCAGGGACAAGGGGATGGAGAAGTAAGTGGGTGGCTTCTCTTCCACTTTTATCCACCTTGTGATGGGAGGGTAACTGTAGAGAGGGTGGCACAAGACCCTAAGTCTAATTAATGTGAAAGTCTGGCCTGAGCATGGGGACCTATCTTATACCACTCTGGTTCTGCATGAAAAACTGAGTGCAAGTCAGGCCTCCAAGAAACTGCTGCACTCATCAAAGAGAACATGCACAATAAAAAAGCAGACTTACATTTTGATGGTTCCAACTGTTAGGGTCTAACTTTCAACACTCACCTGATTTGCAATAATCTCTGGAATACTGACTGTTCAATGAAGACAGCAAGTGATCATATCACCCAAAAAATCATGTATACAAAAGGGAATATATATTTGGCTTTGTTTACTCTTGTTGTTATAATAAAAGAAGATGAGGCATACAATGAATTTGGAAAATAATCTACTTAAACCCCAGAAGAAACAAGTCTGTTTTTATTTTATTAACATATGCTACTCAGTGGAATAAAACTGTTGGTGCTTGAATATTTTTTGCAATAAGCATGAATGTCTGTGGTAGCAAAACAACAACAACAAACCCCCCCCCAAAAAAACAACATACATCTGCTTTTTAAAGCTCACTTCTGTGCAAGAAATAACATGTTGGCAGATATGAGACTAGGACAGAATTTTTGCATGGGCATTGTGCTCCATGCAGTTTTTCACCTTTCTGTGAACCATAGCTAGTGGTATGGCCCTGAGGGATGACACATACAAGTTTGACACAATTTCTAAATTCTATAAGTTGGAAGGAAAGGCTTAGGACTGAACCGTCCAATTTACTGTAATGCTATAATAAGGTCAGTGACAGTGCTTCTGTTTACTTCTATGATTATGTGGTTATATTTCTTTTATATCTCTTTCGTAACACAATAAATGCCTCTAAGGCAGACTTCCAGACACAAGAGCCCCTGAGGGTATCCAGCCAAGGAATCAGGACATCTAATAATGTTCATACATTACAAAGCCCTTTGTATGTGGCATACAAGGGACAGCTCTTGGAAAGCCTTTAGTTAGAGATCTTAACAGTGAGGTTTTGAAATCAGTACAGTAATTTCTTTCCAGACTTGGGACACTTGGGAGAATTGGCTGCTAAAAGACATTATCTCCTTTTTTAGTTAGTGAGGAAATGACAGCAAACTGTTGCAAGCTCAAAGAGTGGAGGTGAGCAGCAGATATAACCCTGAGCTTGGGCCAGAGCCAACCTAGCAAAACTTGGGATTTTTCTGCACTCCATTTGTCTCTTTTCCAAAAGCATTTTCCTTTTTTTTTTCATTTGCAAGAAACTCAGTTCTCTAATACAGATACATCCACAGAAGATGCAGAGGGAGCTTTTAAAGTATTTTGAGACAGCCCCTCACATTTCCCTTGCTTAAATTCCACTCTTTTTTCTTCTTCTAATCAAAGCACATGCTTGGGTGCTTGTCACAAGAGCTGTTCTTTTTTTCTCTCTGGCCCCTTCTTTGGGCTAGATGGACCACTGGTTTGATCGGTTATAGCAGTTCTTGTGTTCCTAAAGCTTGAGAATCTGTATCTTGAAAGGGATTTTTAAACACTTACTAATGGCTGAAAAGAAGGATATAGAAGTGACGCCTGGTGACACATGCGGTCATCTCCCCCAGACACCACGGGGATGGAAGCCTGCAGTGGGATCATTGCTATGCAGAGTGCGAGGCCCGTGGAGAGCAGCAGAGCTGTATGAATGCAAATTTGTTGGCTGAACAAAAGCATAGACTTCTTTTTTTCCTACAAACTAAGATGTTTCTTTTAGGGATGAAGACTTTTTACTATTTGAGGAGAAAAAGGGAAAGACAAAAATCAATTTCAACAAAAAATCAATGAAGTGTGTTATCTCATACATAGGTATAACATTGTTGTTGTTTTGGCCAAATAGATGCATGCATGACTTTGGGGAAATTATGTTTGATTTTTAAAAGCAGTGCTTGGAAAAATATATGTTTCTCTGTTTTTAAACCATGTCTTTAGGGTTGTCATTGGTAGCTAGCTGGACTTAGAGTGAAATATGTCGGGTTTCCGTAGCACAACTGAAAGTTTTGCTTTCTCAGCAGTGTGGTGGGGAGCTGCAAAATCACTAGCACATAATGCAGAGAGTAGAACTAGCATGTGGAGTGACAGACAACAAAAGTGGTGTTGAACACAAAGACCTGTAGAGCTGTCCGACACTGTCCGTGTTTGCCTAGAAGTAGAAGGCAATAGGAGGGAAGGCAGCACTGGATGAGACACTGGGGCAGGCAGCAGCCTGCTACAGACAGCTCATTACTTTGTCCTCCATGTAGCCAAAACTGCCACTGAAACCAGGTGAGAGGAGCACATCCTCAGCTAGAGTCTATCCTCTATCCTCAGCTAGAGGATGTGCTAACTTCATAACATTTTTCTGTATTCCCAAGCTATTGCTGCCTAGTAAAATGCACTATAAGTCCAGCCAGTTTAAACAGAGCTTTAAATCATTTAAAAATCTTTCTAAGGAAAAATACAATCTCTGAAGACTGAAGGTTTCAGCTTCAATGTTTTGTTTCCATTTTGGAGGTGTAAAGTTTGATCTTGTGTAAATAATGGCATACACTCACTTTTCTAGTGCAAAGTTGAGGAAAAAAAAAAGTGGACAATGAAGATAAAGCTGGATCCAGCACAGCAACATTGTTCCTGTCTGAATTTCTGGTAGTACCACTGTGTGCTATACTTTATCAGGGGTTAGCTATAAGTAAACTATGTCTTCTTTTTACCTCATTAATAAGCATATGTAATTACCTTTCTTCCTTTTTTTAACAAATTTTGCTCCAAAAACCTTCTCCTTGGCCCCATGATGCCCAAGCAATTCAGTACAGCTGTCTCAAACCATAGGAGGTTCTGGGTAAAGTACATCTGGCATAAAAGCTCGGTTTTTTCCTCCTTGCTACCCAATACACATTTACAATTGGTGATCTGCTACATGGCACTCAGCTAAAATAAGCTCCTACTAGCACTAGTAGTTTATCCCTTCCCCTCCCTTTCTACAGGTTGCTCAGGACACAGCCACGGCTCTTGGTGACGGTTTCCTAAGGGTTACAAGCTGGTCCCGATTGTTTCAGAAACCAATTAAATTTGCAGTTCCCCCAGTAACACCCTGTGATTAATTTGGGGACAAATCTGTGGTGAAGTAAGTCCAAGTTTTCCATTTGTTAGACAAGAGGGAAATGCAAATAGATATCTATAGTCACCCAAATGATTAAGCCAGGAATTCGTGAAGTGATTCATAAATCACTATAAATACCACCGAAGTCTACTAAAAAGGAGTCCTGTCTGGCTACACAAAGTAGGGTATTATCACTGGGAGGGTTTTTTACATGTTAAATCAAATGCAAAATCTTCAGAACTGTGCTTTTCATTTTGAGTTTTGAAAAAAAAAAAAAAAAAGATTCTTTTCCCGGCTTTTCGCCAGTGGTTATACCATTCTTCAATGATTATTTTGCACAAATGAATCTTTAAAATACAGAGGATGATATACCACATTTTTAAAAAATAATGATAGTTGACAAAAGATTTGTCTGTGTATTATTCTTGATCTCTGGCTGCAAATCAACAGTCATTCCTCATGATGGGTATGCAAAGAGCTATCTCCAGGCCTTCTCAGAGAGATATACAGCCAGACAGCTGAAACACTTTTTAAAAACTGTCTAAAATTTTTATCACGATACATGTACCAATTTTACCTTTTTCACTGTTAATCTCAACTATTATTATGGAACACATGTATATTTTATTCTTTCACTCCCCAGTCTGACTCAAAGCCTACACTTACTGGTTGTCAAACAAAAAGATATTGGAAGAAGCTTCTCAGTAGTGACACCTTTATTTTCTCCAATTATACAGCATATGTGCCATAATGTATGTCTTTTTGATGTAAGCATGAAAACAACAGAAAGACAAACCAAAATGTATGTAATACGTTTAAGAAAAAGATTGGTAAATGAAAGCTCAGTAGCCAGTAAATCATACAAAGTCCATTTGCTATTATACAAATATAAGTTATGGATCTGACAGAGATGTAGTGACTAGTTTTCAAACAAGATCAAAATCATATAGAGGATATGTGACAGAAGTTGATTCTGAGGAGAAGATCTCAGGTGTCCTGGGTTTAATTTGTGCTATCCATACGATGGCCCTATCCAGATGTGTTATGTGGGAATACCCATGTTTGTATCCACTCACTGTCCTGCAGAAATAACTTTTTCTTTTCTTTTCTTTTCTTTTCTTTTCTTTTCTTTCCTTTCCTTTCCTTTCCTTTCCTTTTCTTTCCTTTTCTTTCCTTTCCTTTCCTTTCCTTTCCTTTCTTTTCCTTTCCTTTCCTTTCCTTTCCTTTCCTTTCCTTTCCTTTCCTTTCCTTTCCTTTCCTTTCCCCTTTCCCTTCCCTCCCCTCTTTTCTTTTTTCTTCTTTTTCTTTTTCTTCTTTTTCTTTTTCTTCTTTTTCTTCTTTTTCTTTTTTTTTCTTTTTCTTTTTTTTTTCTTTTTCTTTTTCGAAGACAAATGTCTAGTGGACATTTCGCCATCTGGTACAGGGAGCCCAGGTCTTGTAACGTAAGTTTTCCATCTGCAAAAATGGCTATAGCACTTACTTGGAAAGTGCTCTGGGGTATACAATTTCAAGGAAGTGCAAATTACAATAAATTTTGGGTTAAACTCAGAGTCCGTAAAAGTCCTGGAAAATATTTTGTGCTCTTAAAAGTTCTGGCAGGGATAGAGCTATGCAAATATGCCAGCAAAGTGACAAACCTCTGTGGCAGCTGCACTGCAGATTTCATTCTGAATTCTGCTTCTCCTGCAGGCCTCTGAGTCCAGATCAATATCCTGATGCCATCAGACCCTCCTTAACTTGAAGTGATTTAACACTTGGTTTCATATACATTATATTGGCTTTAGACTGACAATTTTCTGAAAAGCCATATATAATACATACAAATTTCTATGAAATGGTGAGCCTTGAACCTGGACAAGAACATCATCGAGCCAGTGAACAGAGTTTGTAGGTGCTAGTAAGAGAGGAGAGGAGTTTGTTGACAGATACAACTGTTAAAATGCCTTGCCATTAGACACCTATTAATGCTGAGATGTCGGTTACAAACTCTCTTGTGGAAGTTAAAAGGAGTTTTCTACCATAAAGGTGCAATTCACCCTTTGATTTCACAGGGCTCAAATCTAATGACAGGTCACATTTGAAAATGTCTACATATCTGGGCTGCACACTGTTCTTTCAGAAATCTGTATCTGCACACACTGCTAAATCGTATACAGTTATCTTAAATATTAAGCAGAAAGCATTTTTAATTCTTATTTGTGTAGGATTTTACGTTTTGGTCTTTTTCTAGGTTTTTTGCTCCAGCGCCTTCTCCTCACCACGTCAGCCCACGGAGGGTCCCCGTCCCACCCGCCCTGGTGCAGAGACCAACCCCTCCTCTCCCTCCACAGCCTACAGGAATGCACCTAAAGACGTACACGGCAGCAGCAAACCCTTCTTGCCAACCAAACAGCCTCCACATCCAAGGTAAGAAAGAAAAATCTTCATCACTGGTGTTTTGTGTTGAGTCACTGCTGCTTGGCTTCAAGTCAGGCATTTTAAAAACTGATACTGATGTTTTCAAAGCACCTTTCCTGTGGCTCTAAGAAGCAGGTTCAGGGCCTTGTCTTCAGACTCCCTTAAAATGCTCAGCTTAGCTACTCCTTATTCATCTTACAAAGGAGTTACAGGTTTCTCCGTTTAGTTATTTTTGGAGCTGATGGTAAAATATAACTTCAAATAATTCTGTTGTGGCCTTTGATTTTAATTTTCAAATGTGTTGTTTCTGATTGCTCCCAACTCTAAACATAAACTGTTAACAGGTGTTCCAGAAACTGAATGTTTTTCTCCCTTTCACTTGGTGAGCGATGAAGAATCCTTCGTTCGCTAGCACGTCTTTGCCTTGTGTTCTCACTTGTACTGTAGAAGCGGCTTCTACATGCTTCCTCTTTCCATTTTTGTTCAATCACATGTAAAGGTCTAAAGCCAAGAAGAAACTCAGCAATGATTGAAAACAATATCAGGTTGTTTGTTTTGTTTTGTTTTGCTTTTAGTTGATATTGGAATGGAACAGTAACTACCTTAACATTTTGTAAACGTGATGACAGAAGAAATTTTATCCCCTCAACTCCTTCAAAATGTGGTTTGTCATTCATATGCACAAGATGCAGAGCACTTTCCTAGTCCTCAGGATTCTTTTTTATCACCTCTTCTGAGAGTTATCATCATAGAAATATTAGAAATTTTCTTGAGAAAGCCAAGATTTCTCTAAGGTATTTTTTTATTTAAATTTATTCTTTGCCACTGGAAACAATCTCTTCAGGCACAGGGATGAGTTTTCCAAATGAGAGTGAGGGGGAAAAAGCAAAGTCCCAGTCCTGTCCTCTTCCCTGGATCACACTAGATAATATATGGATTAGATCTGTGCCAGGTGCTCCTCTTCCAAGAGCTAACTCAGCACTAACTAGTATTAGGAGAACATGAGGTTTACGAAGGCTGTTAGTTCCTGTTGGCTTTCTTCATCTCCTGATTAAAGAAGCAGTAATAATCTAGAATATAGCATCTAGAGTGTAGAACATAGATTTTTAATATACTGTTAATGTGCCAGAGCAGGTCCAACAAATTCATAGCCTTCCCATTTCCACAGCATACAGTATTTTACTCAATTCTCTCTCTCTTTTTTTTTTTTTTTTTTTCTGCATGAGTGTTTGGTAAAATTCATCTTCCAGAATGGCATCCACCCGGATGAACTCAAGGTTTGATAATTGCAGGTCTGTCATCCTCCTTGGAACAAAAGTAGTCTTTGAGTGTAATCGCCTTGCTGTGGTTGCTGTTCCCCACAGGACTCATACAGCTTAGTGCAGTACGTTCTGCTACCTCTGATGTGGGGTCTGCTCTTTACAGCAGTCTCAAGTAGTGCTAATATATCTCCAGTCTCCCCCTGCAACTGTACACACGGGAGCTGAAAGGACAAAAGACATGGGCCACTAAAGTCATGAACACCCAATCTTGAGAAATCTTGAGAGTTCCCTCTTCTTCGGGGATGTCGCTTACATGGACCAGAGCTGCACTTTGCATAGGTAGAAGTTAATTGTTCCTAATTATTAATTCTTAATTATCTCCAGAGTGGCCCAAGCACAGACGGACTCAAGGGCTTGGCCTCTCGGCTCAGATCTTATGTCCTCCCACATTATGTTACTTTCCTGTGCATGTTTATTGACGGGAACAGATCTCTTCACTAAAAACTAGTATGAAAACAATGTGGAATAAAGTTGTTAACCTTTTATTTACTGTGGAAAAATGTACAAGGAAACTGTATGTTGAAATAACAACAGTCATGCTTGGGGGTTAAGCATTTTTTCAAATGTGAAGTTACCTATTGTCGTTCTAAGAGCTGTCTATTCAGAATGTCCCTCCAGCTCAAGCACAGCTGCTTCAGTCCTATGCTCTATGCTAAAAGCTTTGCCCTGTATGCCTCATTTGCTTGCCTGCGCTTTCCCTTCCATGCTGCAAAAACAAATGTTTTGAGAGTTTGTGATTAAGTTTTCCCGGTGCTTACACAAAGATTTCCCACTTCTTTGCTCACATCTTTGTAATGCAGAAGAATACCATGGAGCTATTTCACCAGCCTGGACTATTCCATGTATATTAGGTGACTGTGAGAAGCTCTGTTCGTTTCTGTCTCCTGCAGTTCATAACCTGCCTTTTCATGATTTAAAGGGCTGTAGCTGTAGCCACTGAACTTTCAGCCCAGTCTGCCACCAAACAATAGTGACATTTTTCTGTCTCAATATGCAGTGTTAAACTTGTCAACTCAGTTTAAATTGGCTGTACCAAGGAAGAAAGGGTTTCATCTCCAGAAAACTTGTTGAACAAAAATGTTTTTAGCAATCGGCCTTACTGAAAGCTTGAGCATCTCAGAAGCCCATGATGATAAGAGGACTAGCATTCAGACAGAAGGAAAGCTTCCAAGCTAGTCTTGTGTGTTAACAGCTTCCTGCACTGTTTTTCCTTTAATAATAAAATCTCACAGACAAAATTTTACTTTTCCTTTCATAAGAAAGATAGCACTAAAGACACTGTCTTGTGAGTTCCACACTTTCAGTTGCAGCACAGAACTGTGATGTTCGGAAGTGATGGCATTACTGAGCTGCGGTGTCCTTTATAGGATTACTGTAGGCATTAAATCTGATATCCTGAAGTGCTGGAGCCCACAGTATGGAATTACTGAATTACTTGCCAGCCTTCTTGCATCCCCAGCATGCTGCGTTATAGATGCAATGACAGAGGGCCCTGTTCCTCTAAATGTGCATATGAACCTTTACAGCAAAGCACAACTGCAGGGCACTCTGCAGAGCTACTAAAAACACATGTTCCCCCGTGCACAGGCAGTTGTAGGTGCAAGCTATTGCCCCAAACAAATAAGGACAGGTAAGTGAGGTAGGAAGGGAAAGGACTGTAGTAGAAACTGTTGCTTCATAGGTTACTGTCTTGACCTGCATATCGTGGAAAGCATGGTAGACCTCTTTGGGGCATGAGCCAAGCTCACTTGATTTTGTAGGCTTCTGATAGCATTTGAAAAGCTCTGCACTAAAAATATGACCACTCTTTAAAATTGTGCATACAGCTTAGGACATATATGTTTGTGAATTAAGCTGATGACCAGTGCTAATGGAATAATGGAATAAAAGATGCAAAATAGGTAATAGGAAAAGTTGCCTTTTTTTTTTTTAAATTTTTAGCAACTATGAATTACTGGACCTAGTACTATAGAGGAATTATGCTATTGACAGCTACATTTTCACAGAAAAAAAAATCAGGTTTAAATAAATGTGTTGTTATAATATCAAATTGCAACTCAGTAGTGTAAACGCCCAAAACATTTGTAGCTTTTCATACTCACAAGTCAATATGGAATAACAATTAGTGTTTCAAGTCTCTGTTCATTCATTTCCCCTGTCATGTGCGAATGCTACCAAATGATTTTTCCTTTTTTATTTTTTGAAATTCATCAAGTGGACCCATTAGAAATATGCTTGAAATGAACACAGTTTTGAATTGCTTCATGCTGAAGACAGCTATTGTAAAAATTTTACATGATTTTAGTAGCGAAGACTACTCATTAGTAGTGTACGGTTCTTAATAACAATTGTAATTTTTAATTATTTTCTTCAGAAATATTTGTTGTTGTGTTTTGTTTGTTGTGGAACCAGACAGGGATCTGAGAAGGAAATAACTGTCCTGAAACCAGTCAAAAACTTTTGATCTTCTGGCATTGTTAGCTATGGAAGTTGTTTCTCCTTACCAACTGGAATGAGAACTTAGTCATAACTTACTCAATGGGATCAGGATTCTGTCACACACTTGTATGGACTAGTATCTCAGTTGTGAATTTGAGACAGAAGAGAAGTTGTTAGAGTAAATGTCTATTATATCTATAAATATTTTACTTTTCTCAAGAAATAATTTTATCATGCCAGAAAAAAATAACTGTTCGTTCTGTGTCATGACATCATTTATTATAGGTGCAGTGCTTGGATGCAAAGAAACAACTGAAGTAACTCCATGTGTGTGTGTGCATGTTTTAAATGCTTATATTCATTTTCCATGCCAGAGGGCACTACTGACAAACTCTCTATTATAATTCCCATGTTTGCAGCTGGCATTTGCCTTATAAAGTGACTGGGTAATTAATGGTATTGAATGCATTTGAATAGAAACAGTTGTTGGTTATTTAAATGAAAACATTAAGAAACATCTGGCTGAGTGGTAATGAAGCCGATGTGTTAAACTAATAAAGCAAAACAAGGTCTGTCTTAAAATAGAGTTTCCACACTGTCTGCACCCCCCCATCTCAGTCTTCATGACACATGCCTGGGATGTCACAATTTGGAGCAGTATGATAGGAATTGCACTAGTTTTTATCTTATTGCATGCACTTCATTACACTGAAAGCTCTATCATCAGGTGTGCTAAATCAGCTCCCTCCTCAGGTTCCCTTCCTATCCCCCAAAAGGATAAAGTTTTGGATACATTATTAGTCAGCATTAAAAGTGCATGATTTTGTGTGTGTGTTGTAATGAAGGAGTATGAATCAAATGTTCATTTTTATGTAAAAGAAATAAGTTATTTCAAGTGTTCCTTTGTTGGAACATGTGTGTTTCTCTATGAGTACCATCAAATTAGCTTGTTGTAGGAACTTGGCTAAATGCTTAGAAACAATTTCTTAGCTATTAAGTCCAAATTTCAGGTTAAATACTACAGCTCAAATTCTGTTTGTAAGTGAAAAGGAGTTAAGTGATTCTAGATTTGCTGCCTGCCAGTGATTCCACATTGAATTGCTCAGAGAATAAAAAGATACTATTTTCCTAATTGCAATCCAGCAAATTCCAGCTTCATTACTATACTCAAACTGAGCTTTTTGGTCTAGCTTCTGCTCCTAGTACAATGCAGAGATATCTAATAGTTTAGCAAGAGAGAAGTTGTTGCAATACAGAGTTGAAGTCCTGGGAAGAAAAGTTTTTTTTCTAGAATTCCACTAAGAAAACCTTTCTGGCATTTTTGTTTGTTTTGTTTGCTTTTTGTTGCTTGTTTTTGTCATTTTTCTCTGAATAACTGAAGAAGATCAGGAGAGGGGAATGAACTTCTGTTCTACTCTTTCCTAAGTACGTCCCTCCAGTTTGTAAGCTGGTTGTTTATAACACTGAATTATGAAATGGATACACTGGACTTATTTTCCAATAATTAAAAATTAAAAATATATTTTTAAAAATAAAAATTAAAAATAAAAATTATTTGGTGTTTGCCAGTTGATGAAAATTCTGTGTGCTCTTCACTGTTTTTTTTTACAAAGTAGTGGTTAATGGAAGAGTGCGTCAAAGCTGGTAGAGCTTGGTAGGCAATATTCTTTTACTTGACTGAGGAATGAGCAAACCCATAGGATGTGACTCACAATAGCTTAACCCCAAGGTAAGTTTTTTTTTTTTTTTTTTTTTTTGCCAGAATGCAGGAATAGTCAAAGTTGATGCCAGAACGTTCTGCTGCAAGAACAGGATGCTGAGAAGAAATATGTAAATAGCAAAGGAGAGAGAGCAATGTGAAAAGACATTTCAGCAAGTGTCTTGAGGGGTCCTGCCAGCTGGCTGTGACCAGTTGGTTGTTTCTGTTAACTTGTCTAACTCAACATTCACAGTGTGCTCTGTTGCTGATTCAGAGAACGGTTGTTTTCAAGGGCATTTTCAAAGGTGGAAACTGTTAGTAGCTATGCAGCTTCTAAATCGAGTTTGACAGAGCTATTGTTTTTTCTGTCTGTCTATTTTATTGTACTAGAGTTGTTTCTTAAATGTCAGGACAGACCATTGAAGGACTGTTGGTTGTAAATTGTTAACATGCTTTGTAAACTGCCCAAGTTTTCATAGTATCATGGGAACCTTATGATTGGAAAAGACCTTCAAGATCAAGTCCAACTGTAAGCCCTTCAACACCCTTCAACACATGTGTAGTAAATCACATCCCTAAATGCCTTATCTACACATTTATTCAATGCTGCCTGGGATGGTGACTCCACACTTGCCTGGCAGTTCCCATTAAACTATTAAAAAAAAAAAAAAGTGTGCTTGAGCTCAGGACTATTAGTGCCCACAAATCGTGCTAGAGATGGTGAAACATGTAAGGGTCCAGTCTTTCAGGACTAAACACAGAGTGTGTGAGTTGTGCCTGCTGCATACACTTGCAAGTTGCTGTGGAAGAGGAAGCATGCTTCTGCTTTTTAATAAATACATATATTTTTTCTGCTTCTTTTGTATAAAGGCAAAAATGCTCTTTTTTATGCAAGTTTTCAAAAACTATATTGACAGCTGTGTGAATATTTTTCCACATAATTGTTTATCTGATCGAAACTGTTGTTAAGACATGCAAAAAATAGGCTTTTATCTAATATATGTACACCACTATTTTTAATAAGACTAATAAATAGTTTTCAAAGTCTTTATTGTTATCTAGAAACCTCCATAAATTCCCTTTTGCTCTCTTAAGTAGAAGTTCAGGCTATCTTTTCTCATCTGCAACCTTGGCCCATTCAGATGCATATTAATTCTTCCATTTCAATTCCAGCACATCTCGTGTGCCAACATTTGTATGCTTCCTCAAGGCACCGACAGGAAGATAACCTCAAAGGAAAAATAATTAGACTCATAAAATTCCTAAACTGTGTGTTCTTCCTCCCACTTGGCAGGAAATCAGTTTTATCACCTCATGTGATACAGCATGTTTTCTAGTGCATCTTTTCTATTTCTCCAACCGTATTACTTACAAAATACCTTATCTGCACATAAACATTATCAACAGTCCCATGTGGATACTTCCCCAGGGAAGTTAATGAAAATACAAAAACATGTAAAGTGCTTTATGATTTCAACATGCTTTTAATCTCAGAATATCCCTGTGGAGGCATTTGAAGTTGGAAGATTTATTTGGGAATGGGAGTGTGGAAATGCACTGATTCTAATTTTTGATTTTTAAAATATTTTTATTCATAAGCCAGAACTGGCTATTCCATGTGATTTTGAATCACAAGTAATAAATTAAAGTGCTGATGCCTATGTCCAGGCATCGTTTAATACCCAAGATATTTAGATGCATCACTCTCAAATATCAATAGGTCATGATACCATATTTCATGCTTCCCATTAAAATACCTTCTCTACTCATAGTCTTCTCCTTATGCCATCAGGACAGCTGGTTTTTGCTTTTTCAGTTTGTAAGCATCTGTACTTTCATGGCAGGAAACTAGTTGTTACCCCTCCATTTTTTATCACTCCTGGTCAGCAGTAGGTCCCAGGCATGAAAGCTGAGCGCGCATGTGGTGTTAATGTGCATTTCTATTTCCACAGTTTGGATATGCCTGAACTCATGGAAAGCTGAAACAATACCTGCATTGGCTGTCCCTGTAACAGTCAAAATTAGGGCTCCTTATTTCCACCCTGTGCTAAAAGTCCTTCAAAGAAAGTCTGCAAACATTCATAATCCCTGAAAATATCAAAGGCATTTTCATTTTTTATCATACCCAAAATAAACTGAACATTTTTGTGAAAGGAAGGGGAATTGTTTAGGTTCTTGAATTGTAAGGCATTACCTGCTAAATGGAGTTTATATATCCTTTATATATCCTTTTTTTTTTCACTCATTTCAGTGTTCCAAGAGTTTAGGGAGGGTTTTTGTTTGTTTGTTCTTGTTGTTGTTATTGCTATTGTTATTGACCTTACTAAGATAAAAGGAATTATTCTGGAAGGATAATGTCATCTGAAAGTTGGCTAACTAGACTGGCAAAAAGAGCCAACCTTGCACATCAGTGTTCTCAGTTATGATGTCTTTGGAAGAAACTTGAGACACAGATATTTAAGTCCTTAACCCTATTTTGGGTTGCTTTCTGAGGTGGGGAAACAGTGACTTTTGGTATGATCATCCACTGCACATCCTACATAAAATGACCCACTAGCCCTTTAGATGATAAGTTATTTGCTTAGAAAAACTGTAGACATTATTTAACTCTTGGACCTGTTATTTGATAGTCAAGTCCCACAGCTTCTCTTTGAAAATACAGAGGTAGTGTACATGACAACCCAGGTTTTCTTGAAGGAAATATGTCCTTTAAAACAAAATTATAAGGGTTTCATTTCTGACATGATCTAAGACCTGTGATTTAAGTATTATAGAAACCAGAAGTAAATGCATAGGTTAGAGTCTTTAGCTATAAATTCCAGCCTTTATGAAGCCTTTATCTCAAAAACAAACTTAATACAAAGTCATTAGGTGATGATCAAGTAAGGATTCCACAGGCAAGATCTCCAGGCCAACATACTGCTGAATATCTGACTGTCACTCCACTTCCCTGTTTTACCATGATCGGTTTTGCTTATATAAATGCATATTCTGTAGTGGATTTCAGTGTTAATTTATTCAGTGCTTGTGTGGGTCTTCTACTTTCTTATTCTTCTACTTTCTCAGCAGGGTTCAATCTTGTGCTTTTACCAAGTCCTTGTTTGGGTAATTTGCCATTTTTTTGCCTCAAGTGACTGCTTAGCTAGTTCGGCTAACAGCCCTGTGCAAAGTCTGAAGAAGATAGAGACCAGGACTGCAGAGAAGGAAGAGATTTCCTGCAAACTCTCATCATCTAACCAGTCCATGCCTCTCACAAATCATCTTAGCTACAGTATATTCAGGAAGCAGAGTGTGTTAGGAACTAATAACAACTGAAGGAAGTCATAGAGAACTTCATATCAAAGCTGCTTTCCTGGCTAAAAATCAACAAAAGTTTTGTTGCTGCCACAGTCAGGATTTTTACCTTTCTTTTTACATGGCCAAGGTCCTCCTGCCCCATCCCTGGCATCGCTGTCCAGATGTTTTACTGACTGTCTTCTCCTTGTTTTAGGTTTTTATGGACAGATTCAGACTTTCTGCCCTCCCCATTATGGGGACACTCAGAAAAACGTGCAACATGGTCTATCTTGCAATATGGTTCCTCCTTTTGAAGACTGCTTAGCTCCCACACCAGTGAGCCAGGCAGGGTCTGGTGCCTTCCATCGAACCTTTTCAGCTCATTCTGGTATTACAGGTAAATGGCAATTGTGGACAGTCCGTGCATTTTAACACCTCTGCTGTGTCTGTGAGCATGACGTGGACATATCAGACTGCTGATCGTTAGTTCTGTCTGAAAAGGACAGATGATGCGTTCCACAAAGAGGAGATGGTTTTCAGATTTTTGTGGAGCAGCTTGGGGTGACCAGCTGCAGTGGTCTCCATAACATCTGGCCCATGGGCAGATTGTGTGCTGTTGTGGGCTTCTCCAGGCTCCAAATTCCCTGTGGGTCAGTCACCAGGTCATATATTCACTTTGAACTACAGTCCTTTGAGTCTTGCAAGGTATTTTTGCAGGCACTCCACTCTCCTACCAATATTGTAGTAAAAACTGAGATGACTCCAACTGTTGGTTTGGCTTTCTGCATTTTTTTTCTTGGTCTTCAGTTCACTTGCTCACATCTCTGCGATGAGTGCAACCTGTGTGCACATTTTTCTATGCACGCTTGGTTTGTCTCTGTTTGAAGGAAGGCCATTTGCATGTGGTTATGGAAAGTTACCTTTGTGCAGATGATCAGCTTAACACAATGGAGTTATTCTTAGGGCCTAAGTAGAGATTAAAAATTGATGCATAAGTTTTGTTTTGTCCTTCTGCACAAGAGGAATTCACTTAGAGTGTGTCGTGCTTTGAAAGCTATGGTACATCTTGGTCCTTCAGTAGTGCAATGAAAGGCCAGTGAATCTATCACTTCTAAGACACAACTATTCAGGTATATAAAGATATCATCCAAAAGACGAGAGATGGGCTCTTTTTTAAAAAACAAGCTGTTATTCCCATGTATACCCTTGGGTTTTATTTTTATTGAAGTTACTCATGTGCTGTGATCCTAATTATGGCAAATGAATCCCACAGTATTTTAGTATCTCTTATCAGGTATTGAGTAGGATGAAATTCCATAGCCAAGCATGATGTATAATTTAAAAATCATCACAGCTCTAGCAGCTATGTGGCCCAGATCTGATGGGCAAAGTCATAGTTGGCATGAAACTTCTTATAGTTCATATTTTGTTCTGATTGATAGTACTGAAACACCTCACCTAGCAAGTTCTGTAAGTAATAAATTAACATGTATATTACTTGCTTATTTGTCTATTTGGTTTAAAGCCATGTCCAGTTCTCTGCATAAGATTTCTTCATTTTTTTTTCCAGTTTATGATTTTCCACCGGGACCCACAGGTATCTTCGGTGATTCAACTTACAGCCTGCCTGAAGACAGCAGTTTCCTACAAATAAGTGCAATGGATCGTTGTCCCAGCCACCTTTCTTCCGTCTACACGGAAGGCTAATTCGTTCCCACTCATATTGAACTTAATTCCATATCATCTTGCCCTTTTGATATTTCACTATCAGTTTTTCTCTCCATAAGACTGCCATGTATGTATGGGGATATGGGTGAATATACATACATACTGGAGAGGAAGACATGCAATCAGTGGGCATTCATCATGAGTAAACTTTGCCAAATGTTAGTAATTGTTTCTTTCTTCTGAAATGCTCTACAATAAATCTTCTTGTTTCTTCATTTTTTATTCCTAAAGGGAATTCAAAGATTTAACAAGAAATCTGCTTTTGACTGTAATTCTTTAAATTAATTGATGTAATCATTGAAGAATACAACTTTAGAAAAAAGGAATAAAAGCAGAGCACACTATCAGCATTTCAAAGGCACACAGCTGTTTGCACAACCTGTTTACTTGTGATGCTTCCAAAGTTAAACATACACCAGCATAAAAAGGGAAAGCAATTAGACATACACCCTAGCACCACACATTGGAGGTATTGCTGTGGCTTCTTTTTAGAGCCAAAGATCACTAATACTGATTTCTTACTGACCTTTCCTCTGTATTTTAGGCCATATGCAATGGCATTACAATTTTACCAATATTCCTTCTAATCCAATGCCTTATGCAATGTATAAGAAGTGTTTAAATGCACTAGATAATAAAGTACTTAGACTTTCTCTGTGTTTAGCATTGCTGCTAGATAAAAATAAATGTTTTAATTTTCTGTTGTTTTTTATCTTTATTGCAATATCTGGACTTTAGAACTTGAGAGAACTTATTGCTATATCTGCTGTAGAACTGTGTAGAAAAATTTAAAATACCCTGTAGAAAGATTAATTTCCTTAAAATGCATAGCTTTCTTTTAAAAGCAACATATATAGATTTAACAAAATTTTTGTTGGCCTTAATACTTTTATTTCCTTACCACATTTCTTTTAAGAAAATTGCTAATGTTACCTATGCTAATTTAGAGATTTAAAACCAAACCATTTGGGGGATTTATTTACTTAGTCTCAGGCTCTGGTCCTCAAGTCTAATCAAGGCTGGAAGCTAATGAGGTTGTCAATACTCCAAACCACAGGAGTATGAGTAAGAACATCGTTGTGCAGTGGAGATTCTGTCCTATCCACAATGATCTTATATTGCTTGGAAGCAACTCTTAGATTATTTAAGGTTGAATTTTGAGGTTATTTGAGTCCATTTTGGGGACTTCTTACTTTGTAGTGTAGAACTTCATACTCATGACCAGACCGAAGATGAAGCAAAAGATCCAAAGATTTATATTTGCAGGTTAGACCATAAATATGCTACAAAAACTCACAGTCTTAGAAAGATCAACGTTGAAATTTGCTTATACCAGCACTTGCTTATATTGAGAAACTTTCGTTGATTTGTTGAATGCAAATGGGCCAAATATCAATATGCCTCTTTTTTGCATAGATGAATTTATGTTCAGATTTTTAGAAGCACTGGTAATCCTCTGAGGGTTGTGTTCATCAACTGTGTTCTTATATACAGACATATGTGCTTATATGTTTAATGGAATGATTTTCATCCAATAAATACAAAGCATATACATGCATGTACATAAATCATGTACAAGGTGCAGTAAAAAGTCTGTCTTAAATACAGAAAATTTTGCACAATTTTTTTTACAAAATGCTTCCCCCTTTTTCTCAAATTATAAGGGAAAGTGGCACTCAGTTTTCGCTCACCCTAGTAGGTATAGTTGCTACCATGTGTGGTTTGCACTGCCGTAAGTGACTTTTGGTTTTCATGCATTGGACTGTTACATACACAGCAAAAAGACAGTCTTTTTGCATTAGTTTAAGATCTGGCCCAACACATCAACAGTGAGTTTTAGCTTTTTTAATAAAACTGTAATTGTAGGGTACCTTAGGCCCTCTCTATCATTGATGCACAGATTTAATTTTGTTCAGTAGGAGTTATTAGGCATGTTCAAAATTTCAATTTCAGACACATAGGGATACGTTTTGTTGCTACAGCATTCAGATCTTTACCACCTTGACCTTTGAGTCTTTTGAAATATTTCTTCCTATAGGAGGACAGAAAAGCTACTTAGTAGAGAGAAACTTGTAAGTCCTGAAAGATCCAGACCAAAGGGATAGAGGATAGAAGACAGAATTCAAAAAGGGTATTCATAATTTTTATTTTCACCTGTTAAATTTGAGGGAAAAAAAGATTTACAATTGATGCATTTTTATATGCATATATATATATATACACACATATATATAAAAAATTACATAAATGTATGTGTTTACCTACATAAATACATACATATGAATCACTTGCAAATCTTTTTGAAACTTAGCTTAAAAAGAAGGAGGTAGAGTTGTCACATGAAGTACATGAGAGTGTGCTATTGGTCTGTGAAAAAGTATAGCTTTGTTTACTTCCATATCAGAGATATATTCTCTTTATGGTCAGGCTGACTTGGAGGATGAGCTTACATCACTTGTGGCAGTTATATAGAAAAGAGAAATCATTTGATGTATTTGAACTATTTAAACAAGGAATCATATTTGTCACATTTACAAGGAAGAATGGTGCTTGTGAAAACACAAACCTTAACGCCAGTTGCTGAATTATATGCAAATACATGTGCCTTGGTGATTTTTATATTTTTCTTCTTAATGCTGGATAATTTTAATTTTCTAAAGGGATTCCTATGTAAGAGATGAATTTATTTTATACTATGGACGGTAAACAACATTTGAAATCTTTCTTTTTTACAAGTTCTGTTTTCAGACTTGGAGGGTATTTGTATGTACATTAGAAATGGATCTACACTGGAGTTTAAATGTAGCTTCAAATAATGCCTATATACAAGAGAGAATGTGTATGTGTGTATATAGCCATATAAGTATATTTATATATGTATATATATATATGTATATATGTACACACACACACATATATGGGCACTATGGTTTACTCGTACTAGTTTTTAAAGTATTGCCACATGTCATGTTGTCTTGTCTTTTCAATTTTCCTTGAAGAGGTGTGAATGATGATATTAAATTACATTTAAACTCTTTATTCCCAGCTTTTCCTGTGGAATTTCATAGCAAATATTTTTTAAAGAGCACTTTTTGTTGTTCATGTGAAATTGTGTTTGTGTTTTTCTTTTATATTTCTAAGAAAAGAGGAAGTAAAAAAGAAGGCCACATTTTAAGATAAACTGAGTAGGTTTTTATTTAATTAAAAAAAACCCCTTTATTCTGTACAGAAAGCATAGCAATGTGTGTAATATTTTTACATGAAGCACTTTGGTGAGGAAAGGAAGTCGAAGTATGTTTTCCATAAACTTTACAGACTTTTGAATATGTTTATATATTTTCACATTTAGAGATTTGAATTCTATTTACAATACTGTATATCCAGCTCATATTTGCTCTAGAGGCACATCTGTTGCACACCATGAGACAAATATTCAGAGTAATTACTTACACCTTCTCTCCATTAATATGTATAGTTTTGTGATTTGTTACTGCTATGTTTCATATAATCATAAGTTATTTTTGTCTTATTTCATAATTTTGTAAAGTCTTTTTTTATGTAAAAGGTAAAATGAAGGGTGTGTGTGCATGGTACAAAATAAAACTGGAAATTTACAATTCAATGACATGACTAGTAGAGTCTCTTATTGTGAGATGCCTTAGAAGAAAACTGCTCCAGCCATTGTTCTTCACCATAAAACTGCTAGTATTTGTATGGGTTAGTATAATTCAAAACAGAAATAGGAACAAAAATCTCAGAGATTTCTTCTCTGAAAAAAAGCCATCTCTATTGAGTCAGAGTGTTAAGATTGGGTTTAATTAAAGATGTAGTGAGACTAGATGTTTGTAAAGACGAATGTCTCAGTGTTTATTTAGACACTGGGTGGAGGCACAAATAAAAGCAGAACATTTAATTAACTTTTTTAATGTTTTGATAGTCTTTTCTGGTTTCTTTGCTTATGTGGAATATCCAAACATGTAAAGGGATTTTGCTTTCTCTGATTGCATTATTGTTTTTTCCATGCTCTAACAATAAAGAACTTCTTACTTCAGAACATCTCCAGTGTGAAGAAAAGAGGGTCCATTTTCACTATGCAAGAGGGAATTTGCTTTGCAAAACCGTGAGACAACAGCCCATTCTATTTAAAATACATCCTGAGAGTACAGGATATTTATGAAGTCAGTGCATAAAATATAATGCACAGGCTACAAATCTAAGCAGAAAATACAAACTAAGTCCTTAGATCTTAGAAAATAATGGACCAGACTGATCCTACTGCAAAGTTATTAGGCAAACTAGCTGACTGAGTCAGGTGTGAACACAACCAAGCAGCAGGCCAAGGTCATTAAATGGCAGGTGAGTGAGCTTAGGAGAGCTTTACCGGACATAAACTTTGCCCCGTGCATTCTTATTTACCCTCTTGTATTTTAATACAGAAAACTTGCTAAATAGTTGAGCAAATTCTGGCCAGCAAGTCCCAGAAGTCACCATGAAGAACCGAACATGACAATAGCATTCCTCCAGCCAAAATCTTTTCTGAATGGACGTGTTTGAGCCTTTTATTGCATAAATCACTACTGTTTCCTAGTTAAAAACAAAAACCCATTTTCAAACATCAGAACTTCTTACAAGATGGAATTCTGTTCTCTTTGTTATTGTTGTTGATGATGTTGTTTTGTCGTTACTATTTAGTTGTTTGTACTGACTTGTAGGTGTGCCAAAGCAGTTTGGCACTACAGTTTGTTTCTGAATTCATACGATCTCTGCCCTGGTGAAAAATAATGTAAATAGGCTCCATTTCTATATTCTTAGCTTCTTCAAAAAGAAAAAAAAAAGGCTTTATATTCTGAATATAAATTTATTAATTTATACATATATATACTGCAGCTAATTAAATCTCATGTTGTGTTTAAGGCTTGAGTGACTATCTTTGCCTGAAAGGGCAACAGGAAAATTCTGTGATACTTTGTTTGCTTAGATTTCTAAAGATATTGTTGCTTCCTACCTACAATCACATTTTTTGCCTTTTGCACAAACCAGATTTTAAACTCTTGCCTATAAATAAATAAAGGAATGGTAAGCCAGCTTCCTCAAGAAGCTGTTTAGAAAAGCTTGTAATAGGCAGTCTTGAGAA